TGCAGGTTGAAGAATGGAGTTGGCCAACCATGGTCTTATCCTGCTGCAACAGCTTAACGCTCAGAGGGAATTTGGCTTCCTGTGCGACTGCACTGTGGCTATCGGAGATGTCTTCTTCAAAGCCCACAAAGCGGTCCTCGCTGCCTTCTCCAACTACTTCAGGATGCTTTTCATTCACCAGGACAGGTATTAGAAGAATGGGTCCATTTAAAAATAGAGGTTTATGTGTTGAAAGTTCAAACATTAGATATACGCTGGTCTGAGACTGTTATTCAGCTTTGCTGCGGTTACAGCTGCAGTTTAAAAAAGGTCTCGTCGTTGACTGTTACGTTTCATTTCAGCGACTGTGTGCGTCTGAAGGCTGCTGACATCCAGCCAGATATCTTCAGCTATCTCCTCAACCTGATGTACACTGGCAAGCTGGCCCCCCAGCTGATAGACCCGGCCCGTCTGGAGCAGGGGGTCAGATTCCTCCACGCATATCCGCTCCTGCAGGAAGCCAGCCAATCGGCATACTCCCACCCCGAGCACAACCTCAACCTCTCCACCTCCCTCTATGGCATCCAGATATCCGACCAGCAGGTGGCACTATCAGCCAGGGTACCGTCCCGTCGACAGCTCTCCTCCCCCTTTGAATTGGAGCAGCTGAACTCTGAGGGTAAAGTTTCAACACCTTCTGCAGCGTCATTCACAAACGCCCTGCTGTCCAAGCAAGCGTCCTCGCCCCCTGATGTAGAGGCCTCAACCAGCAGCATGAAGGCTTCTGCTGAGGAGGGTGGGATGGACTTGCTAAGCGCAGATGGTTCGTCCGCCACTGCAATACTTAACGTGAAGCCGAGCATAATGAAGAGGAGCTCCTCCTTCAGGAAGTATTACTCATGCCACCTCTGCAAGAGCAGATTCACCCAGAGAAGCCTCCTGAGGGAACATCTCCTGTGGCACTCGCAGGCCCTTCAGCACCCGGCGGCTGAGCCCAGCAAGCCGGCGTCCCCGGCTGTGATCCGAGAGAACAGCGTGTTAGCAGAGGGGCTTCCCAAAGGAAACAAGGCCACCGCCGTAGAGATCATCAGCGACAGCGAACAAACTCCTGTTTCAGGCACCAACTCTGACTCTCCCCAAGCTGAGGTGTCCACCTCCACGTGGGGGGTGGGAGGGTTAAACTCTCAGGCGGACACGCCCCCTCCGTCGGACATCGCAGACATCGACAACCTGGAGAACGCCGACCTGGACCGCGAAGTGAAGCGCAGGAAGTACGAGTGCTCCACTTGTGGCCGCAAGTTCATCCAGAAGAGCCACTGGCGCGAGCACATGTACATCCACACAGGGAAGCCCTTCAAATGCAGCGCGTGTGGGAAGAGCTTCTGCCGCGCCAACCAGGCCGCCCGCCACGTCTGCCTCAACCAGGGCGCCGACTCCTACACCATGGTGGACCGACAGAGCATGGAGCTATGCTCTGCCGGGGAAGACAGCAACCAGATGGAGGCCATGTTCTCAGGCTCCTCGAAGCCTTACAAATGTAACATTTGTGCTACGACCTTTTCCAGCCCTGCTGAGGTGATCAAACACCTGTGCTTCTCTCAAGGGGGACTAGCTGGGCTGACGGGAAACACAGCTGCAGGCGTGCTACTGCAGCAAGAAGATGTCTCCAAAGATGAAGGCTCTGATTTGTCCAACTCTGGCACCCCGCCCGAACCCATAAAGACTGAGGAAATCCTCGTAGAATAGCAACAGAACTGTTTTCGTTTCTTTTTTAACACGTTTGCCATCTAAATCCTGGTTGAAAATAGGCAAGCTAAAGGAAAAGTATGTCAGGGTATGTTTGTTAGATATTATTCTTTACCTTTTTTATGATAAAGTGCTTTAAATGTTTAGATCCTAAGAGTACTAATTATAAGGCTCTCTCTTTATACAATCATTAAAAGTTAAATACAGAATTTCGTTGATGAATTTCGGTCAAACAACGATCAAGTACAAGGACTTGTTATACGGGCACAAACTCTGCATGCAACTGTGTGCTTTTTAACATAGAAAGAGGAAGCTGAGGTTGCGTAGAGTGTCGGTAGACATTGACAGTTGCAAAATGTTGATTTTTCCACGTTGGCAGGAGGCTAGACATAAACTGGCAGCTGAAATCAAAGAACAGAGACATTATGCGGTTTCTTTCCCTCCCTCTCTGATTTTAAAGTCAACTCTTAATATGCATCAGCATGTATCCGTCTTCCGTCCTCAGACGTAGGCAGGACAGAATAAATAAGTTTATGTGACGTAACGACCACTTCCAGCATCCCTGTATGTGTCTGACTGCTCCCTGGGGTTTACTGCTCAATAGCCCAACATGTCAATTTGTTTGTTTTCCTCATATTTACCTGCCCTGGTGTGGATTATGTAATAACTTTTTGGTTACTAACACTGAAGCAGCATGTCCCACCCACATGTGCAAACCCTTAACCTAAAGGCTGTAGGATATTGTAAGTCATGTTTTCTGTTGTTTTGTTTATTTTAATATAACATTCTTTAAAGTTATTTCTAGATCACCTTCCAAGTTTGACATGTTTTTCTAATTTTATACACAGCGCTATATATTCATAAAAAGATAATACATTTCAAGGCGTAAGATGATTGATAGACTGATAGCTTTTGGACTAGATGTCCATTTGGTTTTGCCAATCTTAACGTGAAGGATATGAATAAATGTGCTGACTTGTTATAGCAAAAGTCATTGTAAAACTGAGCTTAAGAATTCTTTTGTTAAAAGGGAAACTTTTTTTTTATTTTATTGTATTTGTATGTCCCTACTTATATACATTAATAAATAAGGAATTAGAAGGTTGTAACTTTTAGAAAAAAAAAACTCATAAAATCCTGATATTCTCAGCTGTTTGGACAGGCAGTAAATAATCCAAGAATGAGATCTGCTCATGTTTTTTTTTTTTAAGAATATATCATGTTTTTGATTTATCCTCAATATCTGTTCTTATAAAAAAAAAGCTACTGGTGACAGGAATCTAGGATTTTATACAGGTTGGTAAACAAGAGGCTCAGATTAATATATTGGGTTTTATTTAAAACACAAAAATGTTAATTGCAGATAATATAAGCTGCCGAAAAGTGTTTTGTTTTTTCTTCCTAAATTCCTGCAAATTCAGATTTTTAATCTAAAAGCTAAATATCAATAGAGCTTCCTAATTCTTAACTCAATAATAAGTCAGTTTTTCTTGATCTGAATTGAATATGTGGTATTGATGAAATGTTTGTTTCTTTTATTTTTATTTATCAAATGTAAAATGCATTACCCAGACATGATTTATAAACAGGAAATGTTTTTCAAAGTCTTTATAATTGTCCTGCTTAACATGTTTAATCATGATACTTAAAGTGACCAATCTCACTGTATTAGGTTAAGTCATGTTTTTCCCTTTTTAATGTTAAAAAAAAACAGAAGCTGTAATGTCCGAGCCCCTGTTGAAACTTTAAGTTTTTATGCAGTTCACCCAGTCTGTAGCTAGATGGCGCTGTGTTGCTTTTAGTATCAATCTATTTAAAAGATGCTGTTACAGCTCCATGGATCAGTCATTTCAATAAAATAACAAATCCGTATAGATATACACAGCTGCAGATTCTCATTAGGAGCAGACTATCAAAGATCTTTCTCCTCAAACAGACACACAAATTTTAAAATACTCCATCCCTTAATGTTTCAGACAAACTTTAGAAATGCACACATTTTTAAAATAATGACTGTACCCAGCCTATTTCTAAACAGCCAAACGTCTCAGGAGACTGAGAAGTTTGACCTCACTGTCAGCTGTTCTCTGAACACTTTGGGACTTTTAAAGAAAGTATGCAATGTAAACCTCTTTCCTGATGCCCATTTGACTTCTACTGTGACAGATCTGTGTTCTCAGGAATGTATTTTTATCTATTTGAAACTTTTTTTTTTTTTGGCCATTAAGAAAGAATAAAAATTTCTTTACATAAGAAATATTTTCTTTTGTCTTTATAGTAGATAACCTGCTGCTTGGGCAGCTTGGAGAGTCTAAGTGAGTAAAAGAAAATCATTGCTATTATCAAATAATCAAAAAAAAAAAGATGTAATTGAAGAAGCAACAGAGAATCCACACATTTTGTTTAACTTTATTGAACGAAATATAGACACATTTCTGAATCCTCACTATCAACAGCTGGGAAAATATAAAACAACCATGCTACATGAAAGGTTTGCTAAACGGCTGAAGGTTATTTGTTAATATTTTTCTTACAGCAATATTTAAGTACACACAGGAGGTATATAATCTGTACAAATGTTATTGGGTTCACAGTTATTGTGGGTTACAAACAGGAAGGCTTAAGGAGGGTTGTGGGGCTCTAAATAATTAGCTTTTACAACAAATGCAAGTCTTTAGTTCTCTAGCTTTATCTAATTATATTTCATTTTTTTAATATAAAGCAATATAGCTCTTTTACCCTCCCATTAGAGGGCACCTATATTAGGTTATAAATGTCCACAATCTTTACTTAAAGCTAAAAGAAAAGGAAATGCTTTAGCGCTGCTAGCTGATATAAACCATGAATCAATAGTCTGATTATAAAAGCACCTCTATGTGACTGACGTGGAACCTTTTTTTCTCACTTTAATGGGAAATTCAACCGCTTTGGTGGCAAAACGTAGTCGCTAGATATTTCTAAAAGCTTCCTTTTCCAACTAAAAACCAATGCCTGAATCAAAGCAGCAGTGTGGATTCTTTGGGAAGCTAATTGGATGCAACTGGTGTCCCGGTCCTGTGATCGATGGAAACGCCACAGCTCCTTTATTAATCCTAACTCAATTTGGCTTTCAGATTAATGGAAAAATAGAGCTTTTGTATTTATTTCTGGTACCATGAAGTTTGTTTATGTGACTCTCAGTCATCCCCCGCCCGGTTTGTGCCCCCCCACCCCCTTGTGCCAGCTTTAATAAACCTGAGCAATGACGCTTGGTCAAGAAGGACTAGCTTTCCATCAACCTGAGGCTAGCAAACTTAGAATTAAAGGATGTATATTTGTGTGGTTCTCTTATTAGCGAAAGCAGAGATGAAGAGAAAGTGGAAAAAAACTGTCAATGAGTGAAGATTAGAGACCATAAACATGTTTGGTGTTTTTTTTTTTTAAATGGTCTACCCAGTGTTAAATACTGGCTTGTATATTTTTTGTAACACAGCAAATACTTCTGCAACATAAGTAGCTTAAAGTGTTGTCATAGTATTTTATTTTTACATATATCAATGTGTGACAATGTCTTTTCACAGTATATCAGGCAGTGAATTTTTCTTATCTACATGAATCTCATGAAATATTAAGTCGGGATGCAGAGTGAAGCACACATTGTCAGCAATTCAAGAGTGTGATGCATTTCTGCCAGTTATTATTGCAATCTCTGCTCCACCTGTGGAATTACACATGTACCATGACCGAGTTACCTAAAAATCCCTAAAATAATTGTCTTTATATGAAACCTTTTTGAACGTATATAATCTTAATGAGTCCAAACGCAATTTATAAGAAAATGTGTCTGAGTCCAGTTTAAAACGTAAAACCTGCTGCATGACAGCAGATTGTGGTCTCCTTATAATAAACAAAACAAAATAAGTAAAATAAAAAGATGTATGGTGTGACTGAATGAATAATCAAGATATAAATACAATATACATGATAGTAATTACCCATCTTTTCAACTTCTCACACTACCTCAGTCTTGCCACTATACACATAAAGATTCACACACTCCTGCGTACAAAAATGCACACACTTCCACTCTACCAGGCAAGGGCAATGGAAAGTCATTGAAGGAACACAGGTGTGATAACAAGCCAAACAGGATGCTTCTGGGGGATGGGGACATGCACTAAGGTGGGCTGTCACGGCGCTGTGACAGGGCTGCTGGGGGCGAGTCGGAGGACAGGTGGCAGGAAAAAGTGGAGGAGCTGTTTCTCAGTCTCTCTGGGCAGAATGGACGGCGTTCAGGTCAGTGTGTGTCACCACAGAACATCCTTCGTCATTTTATCTTTCTCTCACACTTCCTGGTACTGACTGGTGTGTCTCCCAGGTAACGGTGCTGCATTCTCAGCTGTGAAGGAGACAGAAAAAAGATCATTTTAGGATATAAGAAGCATTTATTAAATAACCTGTAGAGGAGTTTTTTTCTTTTGTATTGGAAAACAAAGCAGATTTCTAATGTATTAATAACATCAAGGCGATTTGAGCCCCACCGTTTTATGGACCTTAAAGCATCAATACTTTTTTTAACACAAGAAATCATTGAGGAGGCACTTCCTGTGTGAAACCTGTAATGCAGAGCTTGAACTGAATTTCTGATCAGCATTAATGCCTTAAAAAGTGGTGTAAAAACATGAATATTTCATACTTTTTGACTGTATATTCAGTAAAATTAATTTTAATGTGATCCGTGTGACAAAATCTTCTGCTTTTATCAAAGGAAGACATGCACATTTTAAATGTTGGATTCTATTTCTCAACACTTAAATAGCATGACTGCGTACCTAAAGGAAAGTAAGCCATACCACTCACTGTACTGGAGGTATAAAGTCTTAATGTAGTCAGGGCTGGACAAAGACAAATAACTTCTGTTCTTTGAAAGTCTGTAATCGAATCCTACAAATGCGAACTTCGACATGGTTTCTTGACTCCATGCTGAGCCGGTGATGGAGGAAAAATGGGGGGGAGGCTAGAGGAATCATAATCAGCCTTTCAGCACAAGTTCATCTCCCCCTCACAAACACCGCTTCCCCTTAAGATCCAAGACTACAAAGAGGAGGGTCAATGGTGGCATTCCTTCTTTGATATCAAAGGTACCACAGTTACTCAAAGCCTGAACAAAAGCTTTTTCATCTGGTTGGTGTGCAAATCCCCCCATACTCCTGTAAATGTATGACGCCCCCCAGATAAAAAAAAAAAAAGAAAAACTGTGAGAAAACCAGCAAAGATGCCTGCTTTGTTTTCCAACATAAAATGAAAAGGGATATACTGTATGCCATAAGTCAAGTTTTACCTGCTCATGATGCAGCTGTGATCTCTGTGGACACCGGCTCGATCTCCTTCACAGCTTCCTCAATCACCTCGATCACTTGCGCCATCACCTCTGCACACTTTCCTGATGCTTTTTGCTCCAGTTGGCTTTCGTCTGTGTCCGCTGGTTGACTGGCAGCAGCAGCTTCATTGAACTCCTGGGGTTCTTCCGTCAGTTGTGGGAGTTTGTTTTGTCTTGATGGATTCTCAGCTGTTGCGCTGGTGTTTGAACTGTCACCGTCAAGCATTACCACCGTTTCTACATTCATGGGCTGCTCTTCTACCTCTTGAGCCGACTGCAGGACCACCTGTGTTGGCATGAGGATCTTAACCTCCTTCTTGTTTTCCACCTCAGAGGGTCCATTCACCTCTCCATCCTGATCATTTTTGCTTTTTTTCTCCTCAGTATCTTCCTCTTTGATTTCTGTTACTTCTTCCTCAATGACAACATCTTCACTTACTTGTACCTCCACAGCACTCTTTAAATCGTTTTTGGGTTTCTCTTCCTCGTTGTAGTCCTCTTCAATGGTTTTTGTCACCTCTATTGGGACGGACTCAATGATCTCCATGGCAACACATAAGGGCTGGGTTGGTTTTTGCAGTGGCCTCTCACAGATCTCAGGAACAGGGGTGTCGGTGATGACAACTTGGTCAGCTGAGACGTCAATCTCACTCTCTGTTGTGGCTGTTGCCTGGACTGGTGTTGGGATGGAGGCTGTTGGTGTTTTGGGCTGAGGCGTATCTTCTAAAACTTTATCTACCGCCTCTTTGATGACAGCCTCTGCAATGACCGCACTCTGGGTCTCAATCTCTTGTTTAACATCTTTTTTACTCTCATTTCCGGAGACAAGAACCACTGTCTCAGTGATAACAGCTCTGTCATCATTTGACACAGCGTTAGGGACAGCTATTTCAGCCCCCTCTATGGTGGTGTTCTCCTCAGCCACAGTGGCAATCACCTGTTCTACGTCCACTGCACCCTCCTTGGACTCTATAGTGACCTCAGAGACTTCTACACTCTGGATGCACACAGCGATTTCAGGAACTGGCTCTATGGCATTGACGGCAACAGTTTTAGGGGAGTTCTTAGTTTGCGTTGCGGGCTGAATGACCTCTGAGTTCTCAGTGCTGACAGCTCCAACTTTCTCAATCTCAGGTTCATAGCTCCGATTGGCAACTTCTATTTCTGCAACCTCACATAATTTGTCAGCAACGGGCTCAAGGTCCAGAGTTTGTACTTTGTTAACATGAGCCTGGATCAGTGGATCCTCTGACACAACAGCTTCTTGTGGTTCTAATGGCTTCTCCTCCACGGCTATCTCAATGTTAGCAGGATCAACAAAAAGGCCCAAGGCTTCTACAGTGGCCCCCACAGTCTGCTCAACAGCAACCTCAGCAATTTCCTTGGTTACTAGACCGGTGCAGAGAGCCACTGCCTCACCTTGTGCATGAGGCTCCAGGATAGTGTTGACAATGGGCTTGACGCTTTCTGTTTCTGGATGACACTCAATTTCTGCAGAAGCGTTTTCCAGTGGAACATCTTCTAGAGTCACAGATGTCAGGGAAGGGATTTCAGTGATTTGAACCTCAATAGCACTGATGACCTCTTCTGCACTCTGATGCCTGGGTCCCTGGGGAACAGGAGAGGTTGCTGCAGCTGGAGCAGGAGTAATGGGCTTCACCTCAGCAGTGGACAGTCTGCGTCCTGTCTGACCTTTAGGAGGAATAACCTGGTCTTCGATTTCATCCTCTGTAATGTCAGTATCAACAGATTTGGGTGTAGCTGCATTTTCGGCCTCCTCTGGAATATCACTTAGCTGATCATGATGACCCTCTGCATCTTCGATGCTAGCTGGAATCCATGATGGCGATCGGTCCTCAGCTGACACTTTACTCTGGGCTGTAGCTGCCTCTTCCTGTGTCTCCTGTGTTGTTTCAACTTGTTCGTCAAACTCCGAAAGAGGAACAACAGCTGGGGTTTCAGAGTCCTCTTCACCTGAGCCCTGCTCTGCAGACACCTCTTTTTCTATTACCTTCTTCTTGCGTCCAGCAAAGAACTTTCTTAAGGAGAAAGAGGACTCTTCTTTTGGTGTTTCAGTCTCTTGGTCAGCAGCCCCATCTGGTTTCTCCTCACTCTTGGGCTTGTTTTTTGACATAACCAAGCGTTTCAGGGTGCCCCAAGGGGACTCTCTCACAGGAGGGGCACTGACTGGCTCAGGTGCAGGAGCTACTTCTTCATTTTCAGGATTCTGGGCAGTAGGAGCGTCTTCCTCTTTTTTCTCCTCTTCTTTTCCTTCTTCTTCTGCTGTTTCTGCTCCTATGGTCTCCTCTTCAGCTTTGGTTTCCTCATCATCTGAGTCAGAAGTCTTTCTCGTTCTTTTTTTGGGTCCACCCATACACATCAGTGCTTCCCAGGAGTGAGAGGTGTCCATTTTCTTTTTTGTCTCCTCAGTGCTACTCGTCAATTTCTCTGTGTTTTCCGTTTTTGGCTCTTCCTCAGAGGTCTTGTCTTCCTTCTTCTTTTCCTCGTCGATGCTCTTTTCTGCCAGTGGGGCACTCTCAGATGAGGACAATGTGGCAGACTTAGTTATTTTGTCATTTGTGCCTTCATCTTCACTATCAGAAGACCTTTTAGCATACTTTTTGGGTGTTACTAGTTTTCTAAAGGAGGAGATAACACTATCCTTTTTCTTCTCACCATCAGAAGACAACTCCCCTTCAGCTTCTTGACTAGACTCAAGCTGATTTGTCTCTCCAGCAACAGCATGCTCTCCTGATGCCTCGGGAGATGAGGGACCGCTGTCAACTTTAGCAGCCTCCTCAGACTCGGCAGATGATGGAGGATGATCCACAGGCTGCTCCCCAGAATCAGTGAGTTTTGACTCAGACTCTTTCTTGCTCTTTTGCCTCTTAGTTGAGAGTTTCTTCAAGCCAGCTCCAGTAAAAAGCTTCTTTAGGGGGCTGCCATGGGGCTTTGACTTCTCCTGAGATGACTGTAGCTCAGTCTCAGTACTTGCCTCCGCTGAAACCTTCTCTTCAACACTTGATTCAGCCTGTTGGTCTTCTTCTTTGCTCACATCAGTAGTTGTGTCAGTAGGAGATTTAACCTCTGCAGTAGCATCTGATTTTGCCTCCTCTTGTGTGCTTGTTGCTTCTTCTCGGGACTCAGGCTCAGATTTTTCCTCCACTTGAATCTCTGGTTTCTCCTCTTTAGTTTCCTGCTCTGTTACAACATTCTCCTCTTTGGTTTCCTCCTCAGACACAACATTCTCCTCCTTTGCGGCCTCCTCTGACACATCTTTCACCTCCTTATCCTCCGCAGTGGATTCTTCGGTTTTAGCTGATTCATTTTTTTCAGCAGCCTCCTTTTCTTCCTCTTCTTTCGTCTTCTTGATACTGGATTTCTTCCTCAGGTTTGAGAAGAGTCCCACGAAGAAAAGCTTTCTGAAAGGGGACATACCAGTCTCCTTGGGTGGAGGTGTGGTCTCTGCTTCTTTCTCAGCTTGTTCCACCTTGACTTCTTCGTTAACAGCATCTGTAGCATCGCCTTCAGACTGACCATCAGCGGATTCCTCTTTAGTTTTATCTCCCTCGGCGGAAGATGCTTCGGTCTGGTTTTCTTCAGCTGGAGTTTTCTCTTCTGCTGCCTTCCCATCTTGTGTAGGCTCTTCGGTAGAGCTGACCTCTTCTCCCTCTTTATCTTTAACCGTCAGCAGCGTCACAGGGTCTGTCTCGTCACTTTTGTCCTTCTTGACTGTGAATTTCAAACCCACAATGGTGAAAATCTTCTTAAAGCCGACCTCCTCAGCATCATCTGTCTTTTCCTGGGCTTCCTTCTCTTCAATGGCGGAAATATCATTCTCAGTGGGTGACTCTTTATCCATCTTTTCGCAGTTTATGTGAGGAGCCCCTTCGACTGGTGCGGTTTCTGTACTTTCTGGAGCCTCTTCCTTCTGAGCCAGGGACACACCATCTGGCTGGCCAACTGAAAGGAAAAACAAAATAAAGAGCTTTCTGTAAGACATTGATCACATTTCTCTATTTAGTTTATTACTTGACTCTGTGTGCACTTTTGTGTGGTAGAAAGTTTCCTAATGACATCCCCATGATGCTCATATAAAACTATCATCAGTAACCTTTATTTAATGAGGAAATCAAATCTCTTGCAGATTCGGAATAATTTACTCTATATTTTATATAAAGCCTTAAATAATAAGGTATTTGTTCAGCACCTGACCCCCTGGCGAGGTACTAAAAAAGGTTAACTGAAAATAGTTTGTCGTAATTACTTATGATGCGCTAATGGGAAGGAGCATAAGAGTATTAATACAGATAAATAATTCACATACATACTTAAAAATGACACACTAATGCAGTCTTTAAGATTTCTATGCCACTAAAATGTGTTTGAGCTTGGCTGCTATGCTTTTAAAGTCCAGACAGACACTTATCTCACTGTAAGCATTCCTCAGCAGTTAAACACACGTTGGTCAAATGTTGCAATAATAGCTGAGATAGCAGATGTAAACCACACATTCGAAATGTCAGTCTGTTAGTGTTTTGACAAATGTAGGCGTTCGCAGAGGGGAAGAACAGCCTCCTCAGATCTTACTACAGTCTGGGAAATTTCACATCTAAAATCCCTGGGGTCTCTAAAAAACCCAGAATGATTTATGCTTAAGGCATCAGGTTACAGGATTACACACAGAGCAAGTTAGCGGCTGTTTAACCCAAGCTCACCGTGGGAACTAATCTGCCACTTAACAGTGAGGCTAGCATAAGTATTAAATTAGCTGTTGCCCCCTAATATAATTGCAAAAATTATATTAGATCAACTTAAACAGGATTATCTTTTCATGATTTTCTCATAAGAACTAATCTTTTCTGGTTTAAATCTCTGTAATTGAGACGATGTTCCACAAAATCTGCATCAACCTACATCCTTTTTTCTTAATTACAGGGATAGACTATTTTCTAAGAATGTTTCAGATAATTTTTGTTTGATTGAACAACAGAATATCCTAACTTGGGTTTTTTTTTTTTATCCTGACTCAGTATTTCAGATTTTCCCTCTTAATCTTTTTCATTAAAATGAAAATCCAATGTGTAAAAGACACGCCCGCCTCTTGTGCTCAGATTTGCCTCGAGAGGAATGCCAATTATTCTGCTGACCCCAGCTTAAAATGTTTGTGATATGAAGTTTAAGTTTAAATGTTTTCTGAGAATTTGTTGGTTTACTTTGAGTTAAACTGTTTCTTGCCTCTGCCTATGTCCCATTGAAATCAAACAATGCTAGACAACCCCCCTCCCTTTTATACCCCTCCTTAAAATAAGTCCCAGTCCCCTTGACCCAAATTCCACCACAGCAGGATGGATGGGGTCCCACCCCCCCTCCTCAAACCAGACACAAGCATACAAAAACACAATAGCCTCCAAGCCCTCCCTGGCCCCAGGAAAATAAAGGAGGGGGGCTGGTCAACCTTTCCGTTATCAAACTTGGCCACAGCTTAGGTTTAAATGTTGAGTTTGGCAACTTTACTAAAGTAGTGAATTTGGAGGATTTAATAACGACAACATAGCTTGTGCAGCTATTTCTCTCTCAGGGAGAGCATTTTTAGGTTATTTAGTCATAGCTTTACTGTTACGCTGCAAAGATTTTGCAAAAAAAAACCAAAAAAAAAACATATGAATCTCATCTAAGTTCATAAATTTACACCCTTCCCTCTGTTTTCAATTAGGTTCCAGAACATAGAAGTGTTTGCAAAAGAGGGGGGGGGGTTACACTGTAAGCAAAACTGCCAGACCACTTCTTTGGGTTTCTATACGGTCAATAAAACAGGAACCACACTGATTTACAGACTACTGGCCTCTTCTCCATCTTTTTGATCTTCCTGCTCGACCAACCGTCAAAGTCCCCAGATTGTAAATATTTGGAAGAGGGAGAGGAGGAGGAAGAGCAAATGTGAAGGTATCTAGGTACGGAAACGACTGCTGGGTGAGTGCAGGGATGAGGTATTTAGGATGCTTGTCTCAGATAGAGACAGGCTCTCCTCCAGTCTGACCTGAACTGATGCTGCCTTTCAGTTGGGGCCGTGGCAGGATCAGTTCTAGCCCACCTTTATCTGAGACTAAGAGGCAACTATTGTTTCAAGAGAGTGTATACAACTACTTTTAAAACAAAAGAATTCAGTTAAAAACAGGGCAAGGAGACTCCATCACCCTCCCCCCTAAACAGAGACGATACTCAGCAACACCCCCCATCCCCCCAATACACAGACATCTCAAAGGTGTGGTCAGAGCATCTCTGCTTGAGCAGAGGGGGAGGATATCAACAGTTAAAGCCCACTCAGATCGTCCAACATTCTGCTAAATCAGCCACTTTCTAATGTATTGTGATGCAGTCCTGCTCACTTTAAATAACCCCACTGAGATTAGACATATTAAACCTAGGAAATAGTCAACACTTTATTCTAGTCACCCCAATCTCGCCCTAGATCCCTTCTGAGAGTCAGACTCTTATTAATCTAATAAAACGCCTCACATGATGTGATGCAGTGTGTTGTCCCACAGAAATGTTTTCAAGGGACTTTTACTGACTCAAGATAATAACCTTTTAAGCTTTTCCGAAGGAAATATACTGTCAGAGTTAGGCAAAACTGATTTTTTTTTACAAGAAAATGTTCTCCAGTGGCCTAGACACGTTCTCCAACTGAAATCACTCATCCATGCCACAACATCCAGAAAACACAATAAAAAATAACCACGCCCTCAACACAACAATGCTTTTGGCATCATTCACTTATATGAGGAAAACTCACTTAAACAAGTTTCTGCAGTATTGGTGTCCAATGAATGAACACAGATCTATGGCATAAACAGATATGGCTCTTACCTGTTAAAGTGATTGTTCCAAGCATTGGAGAAGCCAGAAAAAATGCAACAAATGAAAGAAACTAATATTTCAAATTAGAAAAAAATATTCAAGAGTAAGCCCTAGATGTCTGCTGTTGACCTTCCCTTCTACACGCTGTAAAAGTTTCCTTCTCTATAAGTTAGTCTGAGGGCTTCTTCTTCTTCTTTCAGTGCTCCTCAGTCACTCAGCAGAATGAAGTGAACAGAGGTCTCCACACACATTTCAACAGACTGACACACATGTCACGATTAGGACCACCCCTGCCTCCCCTTTTTCTTCCCACCACCCATTGCCTTCAGCTGTTTGAATGAACACCCCTCCAACACACACACCCACACACACCCTCCATCCTCCTCCTCCTCCCTTTCCTCTCCGTTTCCCCAGACCTCATCGTCCATCAACGATCACTGAAACACAGCATGTGAAGTTTCATTTAAAGCCTTTTCCTCACTTCTGAGAATCTAAAAGCATCAATAATGTGTAAAAACCAAAAAAAAACTGAAAAGTACGGCATGATTCTTTTTATTTAATCCCTCCCAGTAAGTCAGTTCTAGAACCATTGTTTCCTGTGCTTACAGTTGCAAGTACTTTAGGGTAAGCCTGCAGCAAGTTTTCACATCTAGAGACACTTTTTTGTAATAATAATAATAATAATAAAAACATATATATATATCAAGCTCAGTCAAGTTCAATAAAAATAAATTTTTCGTAGAACAGCTGATGAATTTTACATTGCGACTTTGACTGGGCCATTTCAGCACATTAAAATGATTTGATCTAAAGTAGTACATATTATCTCCAGGTTACTTGGTTAAACATTGATGTTTTAAAGCCTTTATTCCTGTTAATTGTGATGTTTTTCCACTGACAGCTAATGAAAATATGACATATTAAGATTAAAATACACATACACAATAGAAAATGATCTAAAAAAATCTGAGCTGAACAAGGAGCATGTTGATTACCTGGTAAGAGGTTTTAATTTCAGAAGATAACAAGCCTCCTTTTTCCACACATATTGTAGTTTATTAAATACTTATACTTAAAATGTCTGTGGAACAAAGTGAAAGTCCTTTTTTATGTGCACAATCTGGACAACAAAAACAGATTCTGCTTCTTGTTACCTAAGGTAGAAACTTAACCTTACTCCATAGCATGATGCTGCCACCACCATGTTTTACCCGGGTGGCAAAGTGTGAAGAAAATTGTATTGTTTCATTTTACAGTTTAATTCTCTCTTGTGTAACCTTAATACCCCAAATGAGTCATTTAAATGTTACATCCTCAGGATTTTTGGTAGAAAAAAAGTTTTAAAGAAGCAGTTTTTTTTAGGGATGGAGGGTTAAATCTAATTTGACCATAATTCTATTTGAAAAGGAAGAAAAAAGTCTTCCTTAATACACACGATATCTATCCTTTAAAAGGAGGCATCTAGCCATGTATATCATGGTTCATGTCAAAAGCAGAGTAGGAATGCAGATTGAGGTAACCCAGAGACAACTTCACCGCTTTATATGAACATTAATCTCCCAGCTGCCTTCCTTTGAGGTTCTAAACACTAATAAAAACACAGCAGAACTTATCCCTGAACATTATTGTTCATATTCAGACCCTAAACCCAAATCATGAACTGGGAGTGTCGCCAAGTCCCTACACGACCCCTGCTGTGAGAACGTTAATAGGGCCCCTCTCAATTGCTCCAATGCAGACATGTTTAACACTGCTTTTGTCTGCAGGGGGAGAGAGACCAGCAAGAATGCAGATAATTCCTCAGGTAAATACCAACATAATCACCTCTGTCACACGTCTGCATTGTCCTGCAGGAATGTGTGAATTCCATCCAGAGAGGTCCCAACCAAGTGATACCAGCAGAAGTGGAGAAGTCTGAAAATCTGAAAGCATCATCCCCCGCTTGATGAAGAATCTGCTCCAGATTTGTGCGACTGTTCTTATTAATGCCTTGTTTAAATCCGGCGCATCATCATGTGCAATTTATTAGATCTGTTTGTCTGTCCTGCAAAGATTGCCTGCAAATAGTTCCGTCGGAAAAGTCAGAGAGTGAGACAAAAATA